AGACAAGTATTATCCCTTTTTTTATTAGGTCGTCCCTTTAATACTCTGACTCTTAAGAACTGACTCCTGACTACCCTTTCATAAAATTCTTATTGTTCAATTATACTTGAAATACAATTTCTAACAGATTTGTTTTTTCATTTTACAGGTATTTCGGCATGCAATCTCAGCTTTCCAATATTTTTTTAGATGGTGACAAGTGTATGATGGTTGGCACATTGAAATGACCAATGCTTGACATGATGTTGTTACAATTGTGTTCAAAATTGTCGGGATTTCGAAGGTCAAATATATCCACCCTTCCCTGGGTTAGAATGAACCATTTTAATATTTATTATGACATATAATTTAGCATTATTTTGACATTAGGCCTTTATTATGTGACAGACTTTCTCAAAGTGTCATGTCATCATACAATGAATCCAATTTTAAAGAATACACTGTATTGCGTAATAATAAATATAATTTTTAATAAAGGCTATTCAAATTAAATATTAAATTTGCATATAAAGTCAGAAAAGAATTAAAGTTTAGATGAATGTCATCATCCATTCTAAGTAATTCCATTTTAATCATATTTTAGATCAGCTGAATATGAACCAAAATCAACAACCAAACAATAATTAATCATTTACATACAACAATTATAAAGCTCCGTTAATCTCGATTTAATCCTGGCTATAGTTTATTAGAATATTTAAACGATCATAATTATCTATTTAGTTTCTTTGGGGAAACAATCATCTCGGTAAAGTGTTATTACGTTCGTTTGAAGTATTGTTTAATGAAATACAATATACTAAACTTGGATCAATCTTATTTGCGACGATTCCATCTTTGACATTTTTATATTCAGCTATATTAACATTATTTTAAACTTTTAATATAAGTTTACTGTTTAATCGGCCAAATATTTATTGATTATTAAGAATGATATAAAAGTGGTTATAGAATACACAAATGACATAGGACTAACGATCCTTTACCGATATATCAAAATAAAAGAAAAAGGGCTTAACCCTAAAAATAATAGAACATACATGTTAGGTTCGAAAGTAAGTTCGGTTTCTGTTGCTTTTTTTACTTACAAAAATGGTGACATGTTTAAATAAAGTAAACTAGACAGCCGATGATATTCACGACTTACTCATAAATATACTATTAAAATAAAGTAACGAGAAATACATTTGTAAAAATAAAGTTACGAGAAATACATTTGTAAAAATAAATTTACGAGAAATACATTTGTAAAGATTCGTAAAAGCCACCCGCATACTGTTTAATGGTAAAATAATTAATATTATAGTAAATTGTATTCTGTAGCTTTTATAAAAAAAAGGTGTCATATTTTCAAAATATATGTATTTTTGGCGAAAGTTAATTGAAATGGTCCTATCTTAATTAGCATTTGGCAAATATTTCTTCAATAAATCTTGTCTAATTAAGTTTCAAAACATAAGCTAGTGCTTATTGTCGACATAATTTCCTAATTGAAGATTTTGTCTGGGATTAATTTTTGTATGTGTCGAAATCTTGATTATTAAAAAGTTGTCTTAGTTTTATGATGATGCAAGTTCCCCTTGAATGAATATAGATAATGATGATAACAACAATGAGATGACGAAATTCGTAAACAAATTTTGTAAGCGTAATAATACAAATAGAAGTACTTTATGGATTACTCGAGTCTAATATGCTAAAACTTCATCTTTATCTTATTTAAAAATTATGGTTATTGAAAATGCTCAGAAGATGCCTAATTATATATAAAATTGCATGATAAAATGATTTGTTAGCATTGAAACAAACATGAGAAGTTGAAAGATTTAAGTAAAGTAAGAAAATTTTTATTTCGAGTAACGGAAATAACTTGAACAAAAATAGTCTAGTCAATTTTCAGGAACTAGACATCTTTCGTTTGAATCGATAAAAATTTATTGTATTAAATGCAAGCGTATTTTCTGTATTTAATTGCAATTTCATTTTGCATTGCATTACCTCCTTGATTTGATGGCAGGGCCGTTCTGGCTAGAACATAACAGAATTACTTTTCTTTGATCGAAGTTTATGATGAAATATCACCTTATATAAAAGATGTATAATTATTTATATAAGTTAATTCCCGACAACTAATACCTTTACGTCTTATATAAAGCGTTTCCTAATCATATGTTTATCAAATAGTATTCCTATTGTTTTATATTTCCTTTCTATCGGATCTAAAGGTTATAAGATAAGGAATTTCATTCATATGAAAACAAATGAACTACATTTATAAATATGTGATATCCTGATATCAAATCAATTCACGCAATTTATGATTTTTCTAAATAATTAGTTATTTGAGTTAAAACATAACAAAGTTATTGTAATATAAAATAAAATTTTATTGTACCTGTCTAATAATAAATGAATTTCTTGAGAAATTCTTTAATAATTATAAAAAACAAAGGTAATTGACTCAAACATCATTATAATCAGTTTCGATTATGTAATATTTATATAAAAATAGAAATAAAAGACTAAAATGTAAGTTATAACCGAATAAATAGCTTAATTCATTTAATGAAGATAAAAAGCAAAAAAAAAACAATTGAACAAATGTACAGTGTATAATAACTTTTTAATTTTTTTTAGACAAATTTCATATATAATTTGTTACTAAATATAAATTTAAATAACAAATTTACATTAATGAGCATGTAAAATTATTAGATCAGCTTAAGTGTGTGAACTTACCAGATAAATCCGCACATATATCAGTTGGAACAGAATCGCTAATTTGTGTATCAGAAGTACTATTAATATCAACTATATTTTCTGTCATATTTTTTGTAATTATGTCTATATTTAAAATTAAAATAAATTAATTTAATTAATATAAGAAAATTTAAAACTTTATATAAATAATTACTTTCAGCTGATTCATCAGAATTTTTTCCAAAGCCCATCTTCAAAAATTCTTTTAATATTTCTTTAATAACTGGTCTTTGCTTAGGTTCTTGCTTCCAACATATTTTATAAAGTGTTTCGTAATCTTCAGGTGTATCTGGTATAGTAGTTTCACGTGCTTTATAACATGTAATAGCAACAATAAGATCCTGATTATTATTAAACTTATCTTCAAATGGTGGATGTCCGCTAGAAATTTCCCACATTAATACACCAAAACTATAAATATCTGAAGCCTTAATATATTGAAAATTTTGATCAGCAAGTATTTGTGGTTCCATATATGCAGTTTTACCAAAACGCACAATATGCAAAGTGGAATTATTTTCAATTTTTGAAATACCAAAGTCTGTAATTTTAGCATTATTTTCTTGTATAACAATATTTTTAGAATGCTTAAATAAAGTAAATCGTTAATAAGATTGTTCATAAATACAAATAAAATAATAATAAAAATAATAAAAATAATATTTACAAGATCACTATGCAAAACATTTTCGTTATGTAAATAATTTAATCCATCTGCAATTTGAAATGCTAATAGTGATTTTTCATTCCAAGTCAATGTTTCAAAGTTATTCTCAAGATAACTTTGAAGGTTACCGTTATTTGCATATTCCATTATTATATATAATTCATTTGTATTTGGATCTATATAAGTTTATTAATTAATATTTAAATATAAATTTTAACAAAAAAATTAAATTTATTAGCTACCTTGACTAATACCTAAGAAACGTATAATTCGATTACTATAATTAAGATGCAAATGTATATTTAATTCATAAATAAAAGCATTTAGTTTATCATTATCACATTTAAATGTTTTTGTATTGGTTAATTTTTTACAAACAATAAAACTATTTGTTTTTAACCAAGTTGCTTTTATAATTATTCCAAAGCCACCTTCATCAAGTGGTTTTGAATTGATTAATTCATCAAAATTTATGACATTAACTTTATTATTTAAAGAATTATTAATCAATTCTATCACATTAATATTTTCTTCATTTTTATAAAATTAAATAAATTAGTATAAAATATAAATTTATAAATTAATATGATTAATATAAATACATACCTTTAATTGATTCATTTGTATAACTCATTTGTGAATATTCTTCCAAAATTTCTGTAATTGTTGGTCTTCGTATAGGTTCTTAATTCCAACAATTTTTATAAAGCTTTTCATAATTTTCTGGAGTATTTAGTATAGTATTTTCACGAGCTTTATTATTAATAAGAGCACAAATTGTTGCATCATTTAAATCTTTAAATGGAGGATATCCACTAGAAATTTCCCACATTAAAACACCATAGCTATAAATATCTGAAGGTTTGATATATTGAAAATTGTGATTTATAAGTATTTGTGGCTCTATATAAGCAGTTTTACCACAAAGTCCAATATGTATAGTAGAATTATTTCCAATTTTTGAAATACCAAAATCTGTAATTCTAGCATTATTATTATGAATAAGTATATTCCTGGAATGCTAAAGTAAATTATATAATTTTAAGTTAAATTTATAAATTTACTTGATAAATAAAAAAATAATACTTACAAGATCTCTATGTAAAACATTTTCATTGTATAAATAATTTAATCCTTTAGCAATTTGAAATCCTAATTTTTGTTTATCATCCCAATTTAAGTTATTAAAATTATTTTTAAGATAATTATGAAGATTGCCATTATTAGCATATTTCATTATTAAAAGATAATCATTTGTATTTGGATCTATAAATATTAAATATATAAAAATTACTTTTAAATAAATAATATATATTTAATAAAAATAATAATTACCATAACTTATGCCTATGCAAAATATAATATAATCACAATAATTAAGATATAAATGAATTTTTAATTCATAAATAAAAGCATCTAATAAATTGTATTTAATAGTATTTGTATTTATTAACCTTTTTATCACAATAAAATTGCTAGTTTTTAACCAAGTTGCTTTTGTAATATTACCAAAACCCCCTTTATCAAGTTGTTCTAAATCAATAAATTTATTATAAGATATAAACTTAACTTGTATTTTTAAGGATTTATTAATAAATTCGATTGCAGCTATATTTTCATTAATATTTTGATTATTAGTTTCATATTTTCCAAAACTTCTTTTAGATTTATTTTCATTTATTATTAATTTTTGATGCCATTCATATGCTTTTTCTAAATCTTTATTAATTCCTATTCCATTTATATAACATTTAATTATATTATAATAAGCATCTTTATTTTTATTTATAGCTGATTTTTGATACCAATAAAATGCCTTTTTAAGATCCCCTTTAATTTCAATACTATTTTCATAAAAATATCCTAATTTATATTGTGCAATATTATTTTCATTTTCTGCTGATTTTTGATACCAATAAAATGCTTTTTTCAAATTTTTTTTAATAAATTTTCCTT